ACGTTTGTCTTCCAAATACCTACGGTCGAGCACTGTGTGGTCAGTACTGTCTCCATATTGTTTTCCTCCCTCCCTCCCTCTCCCCATCCATTCCTCCTTCCCTCCCTCTCCCCATCCATTCCTCCCTCCCTCCCTCTTCCCATCCATTCCTCCCTCCCTCCCTCTCCCCCTCCCTCCGCTGTCCCACCTGTCCGCCCTCCATTCTTCCGTCCCTCCACCCCCCCGTGCATCTGTGGCAGTGACGTGGCTGCGAATGCCTTCACTGGCGCTCCTGCCACGATCATCAACCGCCTCTCCTCGCTTGTAGACCTGTGAGCCCCAAAGACAATCTCTCTCCGGTCCTGCCAATCCCGTACAAGACCACAGCAAAGAGTGCTGCTTTCCGAGCCCACTGCGCTCTTTGCCCACTGCGCTCTTTGCCCACTGCGCTCTTTGCCCCAAAGCAGCTGCTATGCATCACCTATTGAATCATTTCAGATGTTTTCTGGAAATTCTAAAAACCACAACGTTTCTTTTCAGTCGACTCAAAAGTCTTGCTTTCTCTTCCGCCCTACATCCTCCCACACCCCCCCCTTCCCCTCCCCTCCCTTTCCTCCCCGCCCCCAGCAACCTGTCTCGCAACTACTTCACTGGTCTCATCCCCTCCCTCCCCTCCGCAACTTCTCTCCTCTCGCTCGACTCTCCTCCAACTTCTTCTTTGGCTCGGGCGTCCCCCTCGACTCCTCCGGCGCCCCAATCTGCCCCTCGCTCTTTCTCACCGTCAACACAGCCGATAACTGCCTCACTTTTGACCCCTCGGCGTGTGACGGTGGTGGTAGTAGCGGTGGTAGTGGCAGTGGAGATGGGGCTGTTGCGACTAGAAGCGTGGGTATGAGCAGCGGTGGTGACAGTGGCGCGATATGGAGCGCTGCCAGTGACACTAGTAGCGGGAGTGGTGATGGGGCTGTTGCGACTAGAAGCATTGGTGTGAGCAGCGGCAGCAGCAGCAGCAGCAGCACGGCCAGTATTGCTGCTGCCGAAGCCTCTCCTGATAGCACCACTGCTGGTGATCTTGCTGTCTCCTCTCCCCATGTCCTTGCCCACCTGGCATCCCATGAAGGCAAAGAGAGCGCGGCCTTTCTGGGGCACACAGAAAGGGAGGCCTTTTTGGGGCACTCAGAGCGGATGGCCATGCTGGGAGACAGGGTGGAGAGGAAAGGAGAGCAAGCAACTTCTGAGGCGCACGTCGTTCTTGAAGGCACCGAGCCTCGCTCGCGCGCCCATCTGGCATCGCATGAGGACAATCAGAGGGCGGCCTTTTTGGGGCACACAGAGAGGGCGGCTATGCTGGGAGACAGGGGGAAGTGGGATCGAGAGCTATCAAATTCTGAGGCGGGCGTCTCTCTCGAAGGCACCGAGTCTCTCTCGCGCGCCCATGTGGCATCGCATGAGGACAAGGAGAGGGCGCCCTTTGTGGGTCTCACAGAGAGGGTGGCTATGCTGGGTGACAGAGGGAAGCGGAAAGGAGAGCAAGCAGCATCTGAGGCGCACGTCTCTCTCGAAGGCACCGAGCCTCTCTCGCGCACCCATCTGGCATCGCATGAATCTGGAGAAAGGGATACCTTTTTGGGACACACCGAAATTGAGGCCTTTTTGGGGCACACAGAGAGGGTGGCGATGTTACGGCGCGAGCGACAGCAGGGAGGGCAGCGAGTAACTGCTGAGGCGGTTCAGGAGTCCTCTTCCCCCCCCCACGTCCGTGCCCACCTAGCATCCCTCGAGGCTGGAGAGAGGGAATCCTTTTTGGGACACACAGAGAGGGTGGCGATGCTAGGGCGCGAGCGACAGCAGCGAAAGCAGCAAGTAACTGCTGAGGTGGTTCAAGAGTCCTCCCCCTCCCACGTCCTTGCCCCCCTAGCATCCCACGAAGCTGGAGACAGGGCAGCTTTTTCGGGGCACACAGAGAGGGTGGCGATGCTAGGGCGTGAGCGTCAGCAGGGAAAGCAGCAAGTAACGCCTGAGGCGGCTCAGGAGTCCTTCCCCCCCCACGTCCGTGCCCACCTGGCATCCCACGCTGAGGAGGAGGATACGAGGGCGCTGTTGGGACATGAAGAGCGGATGGCCATGCTGATGCATGCGGGAAACGGGGAAGACCATAACGAGGCACCTTTTAAAGAGGCACCTTTTAAAGAGGCACTATCTGGACTTGAAGAGGTGATGGGCCGGATGGGAGTGATGAGGCACGGGGGGCGGAGGATACAACATGCCCGGATGGGTCTTGAGAGGATGGGTCTTGAGAGAGTGGGTCGAAGAGGGATTGCAGGAGGGGGGGTGAGGAAGACAGGCGGTGGTAGGTGGATTAACCACAGCATGGGAGGCGACCTGCTGGGCCCGTTGCATAAGGGCAACCGCAGAGGCAACAGCAGAGACAACAGCAGAGACAACGGCAGAAGACGCAGAGAAGAGTGGGTTGGGAGAAAGCGAAGAGGAGGGAGAAGCGTTTGGGGGATGAGTGTGGGTGAGGGCTCAGATGAAGCAGAAGCAGCACAGGAAGAGGGGGGAGCAGAGGAAGAGGAGGCAGGGAAGGGTGATGGGACTTATGAGTCAACTGCAGAGGCAGGGAGGTGGAAGGGTGATGGGACTTATGAGCCGACTGCAGAGGCAGGGAGGTGGAAGGGTGATGGGACTTATGAGCAGTCTGCAGAGCCGCTGGAGCATGCACGGCGCTTGGCAGTGATAGCAGCAGGTCGAATTCGCAAGAAGAAACCGCAAAAACAGCCACTGCCACCACCACGACCACAAGCACCACCACCATCACCACCCCCTCCTCCTCCTCCCTCCCCCCCTCCAGCTGTGACAGTACAGAGTGTGATTCAACCGCAGCGAACGGCAGCCCAGTGCCAGAGCTTCTGTGGAACGAGTTTCAGCCAAACAGGGGGGGCGCTGAGCAACGCCCAGTGCGGCTTTGGCGCGGGCACGTGCCTGGCTTCAGTCGCATACTCTGGGGAGAAACCAGTGAAAGGAGGGCGGGCGGGGGCAGGAGGGCAGAAGCAGCAGCAGCAGGTGCCGGTGGTGTTCGGATGCAGTTGCTCCTCCTCGAGATACTTTGTTTCGGCTGATCGCATGTCGTGCATTGAGAAAGGTAATGGGGTGGCACGTGCTGCAAAAGGTAATGGGGTGGCATGTGCTGTGTCTCTTCTGACTTGCGTTCACTTCAACAGTCATGTCGCTATGACCTTGTTTGGTTTAACTCAACAGTCCTGCCGTGTCGCTATGATCTTTCACCCTGCGGCCCTCCTAAGCCATTTGTGATCCCACAGTGCCAGGCATCCACACTGCCCCATATCGCCCCTCGCATAGTATTAGAATTGCCTTGCACTAGTACTCTCCTTTTCCTCACTCTCTTCCTCCTTGTCATCCCCTCCCCCTCTCCCCTCCCCTTCTGCTCCTTGGATTACGTACTTCCCGCATCGATCACAGTGAGCCCATCGCCCCCCCCCCGGCCACCTTCCCCTCCTCCCCCCTCCACCGAACCCCCCCCTCCAACACCTCCTGCACCGCCCTCTCCTCCCCCGTCCCCACCCCTCCCTCCCCCATCTCCACCCCCTCCCCTCCCCCATCTCCACCCCCTCCCCTCCCCCATCTCCACCCCCTCCCCTCCCCCATCTCCACCCCCCTCCCCTCCCCCATCTCCACCCCCTCCCCTCCCCCATCTCCACCCCCCTCCCCTCCCCCATCTCCACCCCCCTCCCACCCCCTCCATCTCCTCCTCCCCTTGCCCCGTCTTCCCCTCCTCCCTCTCCACCCCCTCCATCTCCACCCTCTCCTCCTCTTTCTCCTCCCTCTCCCCCTCCTTCCCCTCCCGCTCCCCCTCTTTCTCCTCCTCCTCCCTCTCCTCCCCCACCATCCCCTCCCTCCCCCACAACCTACCCCCTTTTTCCTCCTCCCTCTGATTCCTTCTCCTCACTTCCCCTTCCCCTCCTCCCCCTTCCCCTCCTCCCCCTTCCCCTCCTCCCCCTTCCCCTCCTCCCCCTTCCCCTCCTCCCCCTTCCCCTCCTCCCCCTTCCCCTCCTCCCGCTTCCCCTCCTCCACCTTCCCCTCCACCTCTCCCTCCCCCACTTTCTCCCCCTTCCCCCCCCCATCACGTCCTCTTTCTGCCTCACTTCCCCGGTCTCCCCCCCCTCCACCATCATACCCACCCTCCTCTTCCGATCCACCACCCTCCCCATCTCTCTCTCCCCCCTCTGATCCACCACCCTCCCCATCTTCTCTCTCTCCTCCCCCCTCCGATCCTCCACCCTCGCCATCTCCTCTCTCTCCTCCCCCCTCCGATCCACCACCCTCCCCACCTCCTCTCCCTCCTCCCTCCTCTTCCGAACCACCACCCTCTCCACCTCCTTTTCCTCCTCCCCCTTCTCCCGACTCACCACCACCCTCCCCACCTCCTCTCCCTCCGCCCTCCCCTCCCCAACCACCACCCTCCCCACCTCCTCTCCCTCCGCCCTCCCCTCCCCAACCACCACCCTCCCCACCTCCTCTCCCTCCGCCTTCCCCTCCCCAACCACCCCCTTCTCCTCCACTTCCCCCGCCTCCATCACCACCGCTTCCCCCCTCCCCCCCACCTCTGATCCTCAACCGATGGGAATGTTTCTATCAAAGTCGAGACACCGGGTGTAGCTGTAGTTGCTACTCTGGAAATCAATGTTCATGTGTATGATTCAATTATAAGCATTTGAGAGCACGCAAAACAACAAAATATTATACGACAGATCTCACAACGTAAAAAACAAACCGATAGTACCGTAAACGCCTGCCGGATGTATGACTCTAATGAATTTTGGGGATGGGTCTTCTAAGGAGACCTGGAAATAAATTACCTGGGTCATATCTCGTACACATGCGGAATCTTTATTTCAGCGTGTAGTTGTGTTCTTCGTTTACATCTTTGTTCTTCAGAGTATTCAGGCCCCCACAGTCTACCCTGCGCAAAATGCAAGCTACCACGACATGTGCGAATCTGATTGGTTCAATCTGGTGCTAGCCAATCAAAGTGAGGATTTGATGGAAACTCAATCGCAAGGATTTGTAATGGTTATAAAAAAAGTCAAACGACGGCCAAGATTGTGTCTCCAGACCTTGAACAGATTCGAGACCGCGGAATTCGCTGATAGGATGGGAAGTTTGCCACCTGGGAATCCCAACGGCTTGGTTGGTTTGGGTTTGGGGTGATTGACAATGAGGCTGGAGGTGGTCTTGCGGTCCGGGGTGGACGTCCACTTTCGGCTCGGACATGGCCTTCAACGCAGGGCCCAAAATAGCCGGGTGAAATGCCCTGATTGCCCTGTTTTTTCAGTGTATTTTTTACGGTACTCTTAAATATCCGACTTGGATTTTTTTTTACTCTGATTGAAAAAGAGTGCCTTTTTTTCTACCCGTTCAAAAAGCCGGGTTGCGGATCTGCTACCCTGAGGCGTCAGGGTGCTCTGGAAAAGACCCTGATACAGAGTCCCTCAGGGGCAGGATTCGTGCGAGATTATGAGTACAGCCACGTCCCGTGCCACTCGCACTTTCATGACCTCTTTCCCGCTCTCGTCGCACATGCACTGACCTCTTTCCACCGCATACAATGTGTGCTGGCTGCGCGACGCTCACCGATTGGTGCCCTTGGCAGCAATCCTGCTTTCGTCGTGCCACCATCCCTCACCCACGCTGCCTCTCCCTTTCCCCTCCCCTTGGTGGCAGTCGTATGTGGTTGCTACTGCAGCATGCAGCCAGCCACCCTTCGCGCTTACAGCCAAAGCTCCCTCTGAGCGGTCCGCGTCGACTGCGCTGCACGTCAATCAAACCTCTCGAGGTCGATGTGCTTCCTGCACTAACCTCTCCTTGCTCAAAGCTCCCCAAAATTCTCCCTCCATCCGTTATGTCTCGTCTCTTCCAGCGGTACCTTCCATCCATTTCTTCCTCTTCATATGGAGGGCATCGTTGATGATCTCTCAGAGGAACCCCCTCCTAGAAACGGCCTTAGCGTTCTCGGGGTATTCCCCCTCCTGCCCCCTAGAGTGGTTCGATCCCCGCCGTCTAGTCCTTCCCATGCCCATCGCTTTACCGCTCCGCCTGTACAGTATCCTTTCGAGCCGATCTCCCCTCGCTCCGAGTCACATGCCGAGCACATCGACCTCGATTTAGAGCATGGAGAGGGCACCTCGTCCGCCGCGGGTCGCACTCCGTCGTATTGTTACGCCGACGCCGCCAAGCGGAAGGCCAGCGTTATGTGGACCCAGCGGCGTCTTCCCTGGGCGCCGCCGCCAAAGAGGCCTGCAGCTCCGTCGTCTCCGCCTGTTCAGCCGACCCCATCACCCGAGACCCTGCCCCCTGCTGACGCCGAGTATGAGGTTATGAAGAGGCGGTTTGTTGATGATTGGTCCCGCCGTTTTCCCTGGCTGCGTCTTACTCGCTTGAAAAACGGTCGTCCCTCCTTGAAGTGTGCAATTTGCTTGCAGTACGGGGATGCGTTCTCCAATACGAACTACGGGAAGAAGGGTGAAGGCGCCCGAGACCTCCAAGTCGGCAGTATCCGCATCCATCTAGGGACCCGCGCGCACAAGAAGGCGTTAAAGGCTCAGGCGGACCGAGAGATGGAGAAGGCCCAGCAGAAGACGCTGGAACGATTTCGGGATTCTGACGCGTCCACAAAGCACCTAATCCGCTGCCTCCATATTGCCATGTTCGTCTGCAAGGCCGACGCCCCGATCGCCCTCTACGTCACCCTCTGTTTCTTCCTGGCTGCAGAAGGTTTGCCGGATTTGCCCCAAGGTGGGGCGTATGGGACCTACTATACAGAGTGAGTACAATATCTACTGCCCGCCCTGCAAGACATGTGTGTTGTTGCTCCGCACTGCACGTCCACTTGATGTCCTATGTGTAAGTGCATCTATTGTATAGGTGTTCCCTCTTAGTACATCACACCATGGCCTTACTCTATCTCGATGTGCCTCTCCCCCACCCGTCCTACAGTTACGGTTTCAAGCAGATGACGAAGGCCATCTCTGGCTACCTGCGCGAGGAACAGTTGAGGCACATCAAGTCTTCACCATTTCTTGGCATTGCAATCGATGAGAGTACGGATCGAGTTCATGGGAAGCATCTTATTCTCTATGCTACCTTCTTCCGCGGAAATGTCGTCGTCACCGAATTCGTTACCCTGCTAACTGTCGACCGGACGGATGCGGCCTCATTGACAGCAGTCCTTCTCCAGTTTCTTCAGTCGGTCGGCATCGACCTTCAGCGCATCGTCGGCATGTCGACGGATGGGGCGTCCGTGATGACGGGCGCACAGTCAGGAGTGGTGACGAGGCTCAGGCGGCGGATCGAGCATTTGGTATCCTTCCATTGCATCGCTCACAGGTAAGTCGCGAGACATGCCTGCTAATAGGTTTGCCTTGTTTGTATCACCCGCACTTAGGATTCGCCATTTTCCCCTCTCTCTGTCACTCCCGCCCTAAGTGTTCAGGGAGGCCTTAGCGGCCAAGGACGCCGCCAAAAGCGTTACAGAGATGAACATCATCGACGTGCTCATTCGGGCCTTCGCGGACCTCGTCGGTCGCAGCAATGTCGTTCACCACTCCTTCAAGAACTTCCAGCTCGTGTACTGCCTCACCAATTTGGAAGCCCAAGGCATTAACGCCATTCGCTGGCTGGCGCGTGGGGAAGCTGTCTCTCGCTTCGTGGAGATTCTTCCTGCTGTTGTCGTTCTGCTCCGCGAGCATCCGGGGGGGTGGTACGAGGTGGTCACATCCTTCAAGGTGCAGTTTATGCTGTTCTTCCTCGCCGATATTCTCGCCGAGCTGAACCACTTGAACATGCGCTTCCAGCAGCGTCAGGTGAGCATTCCGCTAACACTTATGCATGAGATTTAATGGAGTATTGCTTGTCGTCTTAGTTTGCGACTAGTCTGCGACCGTTCACATACTTATTTCAGACGCATTCGCTTGTTACCCTCCCTTTCCCTATATGTTGCAGGTCGACCTCACGGTGGTGGCATCGCTCGTCGAGAACACTTGCAACCGCATCGCGGACCGCTATATCAAGTGCGGCAGCGGCCTCTTCTTCGGCAATGGCGGCAGCGAGAGGCTGTGTGAGTTCCTGGAGAAGCATGGCTCCCCGGACAAGCGAACCGTGTGCGTGAAAGGCGTGGATTCGGAAGGCAACGCGCATGCCTTCGAATACGTGTTGCATGAGAGGATGCTTGACGGCCACACGACACGGAGCGACATCGATTCTTGCGGCGTCGTGTGCCGGAAGTTTGCTATAGACTGCGTCAGCAACATTCGCAGTCGCTTCAGGGACCTGGCGAACGTGGATGGATCCCGCCTCTTCTTA